GCACTTGTATCTCATCCTTTACAGAATGAACTTCCATTCCAATGTAGCTGAAGTTGGTGTGCTCTTCACGTCCAACTTGAAAGGCAGTTTTGAGCTGAGGGATGACAGATGAGGAGAAAACATTGGTTTCGCCCCAAATAAAGTCATCCACGTGAGACACGAGGATTCCCTTTACCTGGCCACACCGATCAAGCCAGTAAAATACAGCTGGGTCTACCTTGGACACTCGGGCTCCCAACTGCTGCATGGTGTCTCTGACTCTATGATACCAATACAAAGAAGCATCTGTGAGACCACAAACACACTTCAACTTCCATACATTTCCTTTGCTCTGTGCTTCCTGTGGTGGGCGGATGAAAATGTCCCTCTCCAATGTTTTACCTTGCAAAAATGCTGCTTTAATGTCTATAGACTTAAGCTCCCATTTGTTTTGACTTACTACAGCCATAATCATTTTCAGTGATGATGAAAATGATCACTTTCTGTAGGCTTTGACTGTTCCGCTCTTCAAAGCCCCTTGCTACTGGCCTCGCTTTAGGTACAACCCTTGCAGCAGTGTCTTTAAGTGTGCACACCCACCTTGTTGAGACACATTTCTGACCTTCACTTTTAACTTCTTCAAAGACATCATTTTTTTCTCCAGTTTGCAAGTTATGCCATGAAGACATTGTCCTGTACAATAAATGCATCGTCACAATTTTTGTCGGTACACAACCTCTGACGAAATCACTTGAACATTGTTCACTATACCAAGATTTACTGACTGTGATGTGCCAGCTCTGTCCTCAGGCTGACTGAACTGCAGATTATACCAATCTGTGTGTTTTCCAGTTGCCTTTCCTGCTCGGCCAAGGACTTTTCCAGTACAACTTTGACCACTTTCATTGTCAATGTATTTAACCTCTTGGCCAATTTTCAGCTTTATGTTTTCACAGGAGGAGCTGGCTTGTGACTGCTCATCACTGCCCGTTGCACCAGATAGTTCATTAATCTCAACATTAGATGGGCCAATGTCTGCTTGTGTTATGTCCTCATAGTCACTTTCTGCATCATAAAGATTTGCTGCTGGTGGTGCTGTCGGAGTCTCGAGTGTTGTCATTTTAGGTTCTGTTTCAGCCATTTTAGTTTGTGTCTCAGTCACCTTTCTAAGTCTAGATTGATGCACCCTGACATAGGAGCCCCCATGTCTCACAAATACAACAGCCCCATCTTGACCTAGTAATACCCCTGGACCTTTCCACTCATTGAAATCAATCCTTTTATAGTAGACTTTGTCTCCTGTGACATACTTGTCATCAACTGGTCGTAGTTGTTTCCGAGGGGCTCTTCTGAGTCTCTCAGAGCATACTGCCACTGTAAACGCCTTTCTCATTGCATGTAGTGTTGTCATGTGTTGAGCTATCCAGGTGTTAATGCTTGTTTCAAAGGCTGGGGGTTTGTCAGTGAGCACCGACGGAAGGTTTGGATTTTGTCCAAACACCAGTTGATAGGGGCTATACCCATGTACATTGTGCATGGAGTTCTTGGCCATGAGTGCCCAGTCTAACGCTGTATGTCACAATTATTGTCTTTTTTAACGTTCAGAAGCATTTCAGTGAGCGTTTGGTTATGCCTTTCCTGAAGCCCGTTGCTCCATGGGCTATGAGCTGCTTTGGCTATCAGTGGTTTTGATCTCAATGTTGAATTTTTGAGCCATGTCCTTGACATCCTCGTTATTGAATTCACCTCAATTGTCACTAAATAGCCGGCTTGGAGGACCATGAACACTGATCCAACAGTGAATGAACTGCTTTACTATCTCTTTGGGGTTCTTTGTTGTGACAATTGTTGTGACCAGCACTGAAGCGGGTGAAGTGGTCTATGACATGTAAATACCACACGTTGTGGTCAAGCTCATGTAAGTCGACAGCCACAGTTTCATTATAAGTTGTGGCCATTGGCAAACCAAATATTGGCTTGTTTTTTGGCTTGCTGTACCTTGTACATGTTTCACAATTTTGGACAATTCTCTTGAGAATATCTGTACTTTCTTTGTCCTGAGTGCCTGCGCAGGTGAGAAGCTTCTGCAACCTTTCAGCTCAGGTGTGTCCAAACTGCCTGTGTAGTTTCAAAAGGATTTTTTCCTTTTCTTTTGTGCTCATGTCCTCTTCAACAATGAGTACCTCTTCTTCATTTTGAGTTTCCTCTTTACTCTTATCTCTCAAGTTCACACAATAATATCCAGAAGATGTCAGCTCAAGTTTAACTGGCTGTTTAAACATGGTGGCTTTGTCACATGCAATGTCTAATATTGCACTAGCCCTTTTTAGTAATAGGTGCGCTCGCTGTCAGCCGTTTGCGGCTTACTGCTGCCCTCTCGTGGTGATGTGACGTCTCCAAAAATTCTTTTCAATGCAGATTTCATATCAACAAATGTGACGGTGGGGCAGGCTGTAAGTGCTAACTGTTTGTCTTTTATGTTGAGACCGGCCGTATCTAGCAACTTAAATGCTAGCACAACATCTGGGAGCTCCATTTTAAATTTACACAGTCTGTTGTAACAGCGCTCAAACTCCACTATATAGTCCACCATAGACATGCCACTGTGTCTAGTTACACAATCAAACTCTGTGTACGCCTCATACTGGCGATCTTTTTCTTCTTTAAGAAACACAGAGTCCAATTTTGCCAAAAGTGCGGCCATACCAGTGTCAGCATTCAAATCACCGGCGGGAATTTCCAGCGCACTTTCCCTCGCGCGCCCCGCCAGCGACAAGGTAATGGCTAGCGCTTGTTTCTTCTGGTCCAAATCTGTGACCAACCTCCAGATTTCAATCTCATTCTTCCAAGTTTCATATGACGTTTTCTCGTCAAATGGCGGCGGGATCTTGTAGCCATCCTCTGCTACCAATGTTAGCTCAATAAACACACAGGTTTATGGAAACGATGTTTACTCCATCAAGATAGCAGACAAGTGAATACAGTCTTGTGTGAGCATCAACATGAACACCCAAACTTCGCGATACTATCACCGCTCCTCATTTTTGCACATAGAAACATAGCTTAACACTCAACATACAGCAGGACTAAAATGGTCACCACTTTCGCTTTCGTTAGTAGTCTAATGTAGTAGTAAAATGTCTGTATTACCTAGATATCTTTATTTGTTTCAAAGCCTTCCGGTGTATATCCCAAACAATTATTTAAAAAAACAAGACAGTATTATCACATCATTTCTTTGGAACAATAAGAGACCACGGCTACGTAAAGCAAATCTGCAAAAATCAACAACGAGAAGGAGGTTTGGCCTTACCAAATCTCCGCTATTATTATTGGGCTTCCAGTCTATGCTGTCTGTCCCACTTGGGTACAAATTGAGAAACTCTCTTGTGAATCATTCAAACTGTCTGTTGCTGGTGCACCAATTCCGCTATCTAAAGACTTTCAGTGTCATCGTTGCACATTACAGCAGAGAGAGGAAATAAGAGCACTCAGATTGCACACATCAAAGTCTATTATTTAAGATAATAGACAATAAATTTAAAATAAAATATAATAAAATAAAATAAAATTAGATAAACTCTGGGCTATAATTGCACTTGGTTCGGAGTTTTTACAGATGTCTACAGATTATACATTAGCAGCGGAGAATATGAGCAGAATAAACATCAGAAATAATATCAACAGGTAAAGTGACTTGAATGGGAGAATTATCAGATGGATATGTAATAATACAGTAAGATATCTGATAATCCTATTATTCATAACTCTAAAAAATGTGCTTCCAGTTTCGGAGGCATTTTGATTTGTTGAGAATAGGCCTTGGTTGCCCAATAGCATTTAACTATTCTTTTGCCCCCTCACTGCATGATGCCACATTTCATGGCTGGCAGAGACGTGGGCTGAGACTTTTGGAAGATTTATTAATTGGAAATACATTTGCTTCCTTTGAACAATTGGTTAATAAATATAATTTACCTGCATCTCATTTCTTCAAGTACTTGCAGATTCGTCATTTCCTTTCGGCTTCTATTTCAGGATTCCCTAACAAGCCTTCTAATAATGTAATGGATGATATTATGCGTTTTAATCCTTTAAAGAAAAGAGCCATTTCAGCAATGCTTGCTTTAATTACAAGTTTGGCTTCTTTTCCATGACTGCTATCAAGCGGGCCTGGGAACAGGACCTTCAGACTTCCTTCACTGAATCAGACTGGGAAAATATCTTGGTGAAGGTCAACTCGTCCTCCATGTGTGCAAGACACTCGCTCATACAGTTCAAAATTGTGCATAGGGTATATCTCAGCAAATCAAAACTGGCAAAGATGTACCCCCAAATTGACCCAACCTGTGACAGATGTAAATCATCCGAGGCTACTTTAATTCACATGTTTTGGCCTTGTTCCAAGATCCAAACATTTTGGGAGGGAATCTGTGAGGCGTTCTCTTGCATATTTGGGGTGAGGATAAGACCTGATCCTACCTTGTTTTTGTTTGGGGTCGTCACTGATTGTTTGGTACTGCCTGTTGGAGCTCAAAAACTAATTACCTTTTCGACATTGTTGGCATGACGTTTGATACTTTTGAAATGGAAGGACCCTACCCCGCCCACAGTGTCACACTGGATTAAAGATGTACTTTTTCACCTTAAACTGGAGAAGATCAGAGGGGCTCTGAAAAGAAATTTCATAAAGTGTGGAAACATTTTTTAGCCTTCTTTGATCATCCATCTACACAGGTTCAGGAGTAACAATTTTATTTTCACTTGATTGTTTTTATTTTGATTATTTGGCTGACTGAGCTATATCTGGTTCTTTGTACAGTATTACTGCACAATTGTACTGATACTTATTTGATGAAACAGGGTTTTTGTGTCAGGGTGGGGTTTTTTTTACTTTTTGCACTTTTCTTTTTTCAAAAAATGAAAATCAATAAATATATTAAAAACTAAAAGATGCAGTGGTATTTAGCATTGCACTTGATGAAAGCGTGGATGTGAATGACATCCCGCGTTTGGCAGTCATGGCAAGGTACTGTGATTCAACCGTCAGAGAGGAACTATGCTGCTTGAAGTCAATGCCTGAAACTACAAAAGGTGAAGACATGGCCAAGGCATTAATTAAAATGTCAAATTCGGACGTCAATGGCTTTGGTGACAAAGATGATTAACTTCATAGTGAAGCAATCTACTCTGACGCACCGGCAGTTTCAGTCTCTGCTCGAGGAGCTGGACAGCGAATATACAGATCTGCCTCTCCACTCAGCAGTGAGATGGCTGGGTTGCGGAAAAGTTATGGAGCGATTTGTAAGCTGCTTTGATGCTATCAAGGCCTTTCTAAATGAAAAGGGCCAAAAATATCCAGAAATGGATTGTGAAACTTATGTTTCTGGCGGACATAACGGGACATCTTACTGACATCTTTTGTCAGTAAGCTGGCAGTATTCACAGATGACATTTCCACCTGCACGTTCTGCTACTTCCGACACCTGAGAGAGCCGTCCTCCCTGCGCAAGATCAGCACCGCTGAAATAACCACTTACATGCATTTGCTGGAGGCGGAGTTCACAACGCGATTTGTGGAATTTAAAATGTACGGACCAATGTTCTCTTTCTTGATCAAGCCCGACAACTTTGATAGCCATGATTTCGATGCCACTCTGATCAACTGGACATGGAGATGCAACTGATTGAGCTTAAGAGTTCAACACTATGGGTGACCAAGTTTGCAGAGCTCAGAAAACAGTGAAAGATCACGGAGCCCACATCCTTATCTGCCGGACATCTACACCTGAGAAATTCAGCTGTCTCAGGGGCATTGCACTGGCGCTGCTGTCAGTCTTCGGATCAACATATCTCTGTGCTCAGCCCCACCCGCAGTCGGTTAACAACCGAGCACTCTGAGGCATGTTTGCAACTTAAAGTATCTAACAATAAGCCCCAGATCACAGAGCTCAGTGTAGTAAAGCAGGGCCAGGGATCACACTGACTGTCTGGCATCTGATAATTTGATGTTTCCTCAGACTACACTAGTTTTAGTTTAAATGTGTAGGCTATCTGTTTTTCAGTCTTTGAAATGTTGATGTGGTTATTTGGTTCAGAATAAAAGTTTTTGTTCAGGATCAGATCAGGATGTCTAAAGTTTCAACAATAAAATAAAGTGCAATAGTCTACATTACAAGAGAGTAATAAACATGTCTCAGAATGAGGGGGGTGGGCACAGACAACACTATTGTTTATTACAGGGATGAGAATTGGTCAAAAAAGTCTGAAATGCATAATGTCAGCCATTGACTGGGTCTACATCCGTTTGATGTGTTCACAACATTTTACTTGAACTTTTAATACAATGGAAAATTTAGATACCCAAGCTTTAATTCTGGGAGTTAAGTCGCGCTTCGAGAGGAGAGGAGAGACGCGTGCCGTTTCCTGCAGCGGTGTGATTATTGGGTGCACAGATTGCGCAAATACACACACACAACAAAGCAGAGATTGGTCCTGTGCGCGTTTATGGTCTAGGGTTACGGGTACATGGCCACGTTGCGGCTGTGAGCGGGAACCGCTCATTACAAAGTGGCCGCAGCTGCCCGGGAACACTGCGCCCGCTGAGGTGGCGGAATCCCGTTTGAGTACATACAGCAGGTGCCCCGCAGATACGCGCGCCCCCCCAAAAATTTCTCAACGGATTTACACTTTTCACAAACATGTTTTTTTGTATGAGGCAGGCATCCATCCATCCATCCATTTTCTACCCCTTAATCAAAAAAGTAACGCAATAGTTACTTTTACTGGTAACTAGTTACTTTTATAGTGGAGTAACTAGTAACTATAACTAATTACTTCATCAAAGTAACGTGCTCAACACTGCATACTGATACTACTACTGCAATACTACTACAGTAGTGACACTACTGCAATACTACTACAGTCGTGACACTACTACTGCAATACTACTACAGTACTGATACTACTACTGCAATACTACTAAAGTACTAATACTACTACTGCAATATTACTACAGTACTGATACTACTACTGCAATAATACTACAGTACTGATACCTAATACTATAGCGGAGCACACCCCGTTTCCTCCAAAATGATTGACTAAAGCAGCTCTTCAGAGGAAACTGAGGTTTTGTTTATTGGATTTATATAGTCTCATAACCACATGGTATGACTGTCCAGCACTGACCACTGGATTTGTTTTTTACTTAATACATGTGTTTCTGTCATGTCCTCTGGACCACGCACAGACTTTACATGTACTTACAGGCTGTGAGGGGAAGGATAACTTGGGAAATTGGGGCATAAGTATTCAAACATGCTGCTTCTCCTACGTGAAGCACTCTACAGCCACTGGCACAAGTCACATCCCCAGCTCATCGCATGCGCAGTGGATAAATGATAGCATCATACAAACAAAATAGTATTGAATCTTGAAGGTCCTTCAGAGTCTGATTACAGTTTGCACTTGGAGTAACAAGAGAAAGCAGAGCATGTGAAGTGGTTGCAGTGTTACCTGGTGGCCAGCAGAGGGTGTGTGAACAGAGGCAGGGCCCAGGCCTCTCTGGTCCAGGGCACAGACTGGAACACCAACAGGTCCTTCTCTGTCATCGCCATGACAAGCGGGCGGAACTGCTGCCGGCCGCTGCCCAGCTGCACCTGCACAAGATCACTGAGATCAGCACACAGAACCAGGAGAGACCCAGGAGAGGCTCCAGAGAGGCCCAGGAGAGACCCAAGTTACATCCAGGAGAGGCCCAAGGGAGATACAGAGGAGGACCAAGAGAGGCCCAGGAGAGACTCTGGAGTCTCAGTCTGCAGTAACAAGCCTTTCTTAGTAGATAAGAGAACCTTTATTTGTCCCACAGTGGGGAAAATGCAATAGTATATAATTATCATAGTATAAATGAAATAAACAGCATTGTGGTTTCATTTAATTTCCCACCTTTTATTTATCCATTACCCCACTAAGCCTCCAGATCACATACAGATCATGTCCATATTACGTCGATCTGTCAAGGACTCTTTTTTTCACATCCAAACAACGTCTGTGTATTGTGTATCTGGACGCAAAACAATGACATTCCATAGACATTGATATGACGTTCAGGAGACGCGAGGAGTGAGAGAGAGGCGAGGAACAGCAATTAAAACCAGTGGCAGAACTCTTGAGCAGAGTTTTTCGGGGATGCACTGATTATTTGAGCTGTGAGCGATCACAAGCCAAGAAGGAATATGGTCAATTTTTAACATAAAACACCTAGATTGACAAATTCTCCCCACTATTTGAAGCTTTGATTCAAAGTCCAGTTTAGAAAAATAATATTAAATCAAACCATCCATTATACAGCAAAAAATGACACCGATTCTTGGCCACTACATAATCCTATGTGGAGTGTTGATTCGTTTTTAGCCAAACAAACAACAATTGTTCGCTGAAAAACAAAACCAGTATATAAATGTAGTGAAGCATCGACCTGAAATTGAACTCACGTTGCTAAGTCTGCTGATCTATTACTTGACCCCTACACCACCATCAGGCGCTGCAGGGTCACCTCCCATAGACGTTGATATGACGTTCAATCTTTGAGTCAATTTCTGATTGCTCAGTCCATTCTTCCTCTGTACCTGCTTTATCTACTTTCTCTAATCACCTTCTAGTCTGCAAATTTTTTAGATACACGTAGCTTCATTCAAAATGGCTAATGACCCTGTTTGCACCATATCTGCTGACACCATGGATCTATAAAAATAATGGCTGCCCCTGGTTAGCGGAAAGAGAGATGCCTTTGCCAACTAGATAACGCATTTTAGAGCTAGAGAACCCCATGTGCTCAATTGAGTTGTAGTGAGAGCCAAAACAGTTAACAATGCTAAAAAGTGTTTAAGTTAAAGTGAAAATATGAAATTGTTTTACGGTTAAAAGGTCTAACAAACCATGTGTTAAAAAAGGTTGAAATTCTCGAGTTTAAAATAATAATTCTAAAATGTTAAAGCTGCACTAATTGACTTTATTTTCGTATTCATTACAAAAATGCTATCCATGTCCATGTAGTGCATTGGCATACGTCCTTTTGAAGAAAAAGTAGCGCAGATATTTTAGATCGAGTTTTGATGAAATAAGGAAGGGAACGTGTTTCGGGTTGCAGATTGAAAATTTCTCAAAATCAGTTAGTGCAGCTTCAAGTTACTATATATTATGTAATATACAGTTACTTGTTTAAACACAGTTTGTGTTTAAACTGCAAAAGACTACTGTAAAAATCTAAGTTTAAAAACAGGTAGATCAGCTTTAATACCTGGGATATTCTCATTATTTAGATGTGTTTAGATCTGTGATGTGTCTAAATATGAGATCCAGTTGAGTTCAACTCCGGATGTTAAAGGAACAATATGTAAAAATGTGGCCAAAAGTGGTACTGCAGTCACAGTCAATATTTTGTAGTCCTCTCCCACTCTCCCTGACTCAGGTTGCCAGATGCACACCAAATCCAGCAGCAAACACAGGGAATTATGTTATCGGCTGTTTGTCTGTCTCCATTCACATTGCCATGAGGCATGCTAATGTTGAATGAATGTTCAATTTTTTATTATTATTTGAGATAAAAACAAAAAACAAAATAAAAGCAATGTAATTATAGATTATCCAAAATAAATAACCAATTGGTGTCCAAATTACGAGTGGGAAGAATGGATGTTGGAACGTATTTCTTCAGCGTATCAACATCAGGGTTTGCTCCAGACTCCAGAGGATCTCACCTTTCAATTTTATTTATTCCCTATTTTTGTATAAGTCCCACATCAAAAAGAGACTAACATTATTTTAATTGGGGTACATGTGGTCTCAAATGATTCTTTTTGTAATTAAGCTATAATCTGCAAAAAAACGTCTTGAACTTAGTCTTTTACCGTATTTAGAGCAATCTGTCATAGAATGTGATAACATGCAATTAAATACAAAAAGGCCCTGCCTGGAATCGAACCCGGGTTACTACGTCATGAGCGCGTAGTTTAAAACTCTAGACCACCGATTCGCGCGGTAAGAACAGTTCTGAAGAACGGAGTCAAACCAGAAAATTGTGCATCACACGTAAACTTTTATCAGCCGTCTCAATTGTTCAAAGGCGTCCCAATATAAATTCTCGTTTTAGTCTATGTTTTGTCATTAATTATTTGAGAGTCATAACAAGACCTTTTTTAGTTCTGCGCCACATGTTATTTTACCACTGAGATTAGTGAGCCGCGCGGAGTTCTGGCAACCCGATCACGGACTTACATGACACTTCCTGATTAGCGAAACGGCGGAGGGTAGGACATCAAAATCAAAACAACAATTTTGATATTCAAATATCTCGGCTGAACTACTGTTATCAGTTAAAGATGTATTCGAAAAGAGCATGATTTAATAATGCCTTTTGAAATATGGGGGCCATTTAATGATGACTTGACATGCAAATATTACATACTGCTACTTTAAAATACATTTACCTTAGCTAATGCAGTCAATTATTGTGAAATAAATTATAATAATTTTATAATAACTGCAATTACAAATGTTTGCGTGTATTCACAATGTGTCATGTGTTTGAGTCTTACAGCAGGGGTTAAGCAAAAAAAAAGATTTGACTGAACATTTTCTCATGGAAATTTATCACATGTTGTAAATCACAGTCATATGCAGGACCAAGTTATAATTTTAATTACAATATATTATTGTATAATGAATGACAGATCAAATGAATTCTTCAGATATACATTTAAACTGGTGTATTTTAATGTAAAATTACAACAAGTGGATCAAGCAACTTGTCAACTTTTTTGACAGAATATTAGTGAGAGTAGTTGCATCCGCAACATTGGCTTTACTTGAGGCAAGAGGGAGCGTCAACACTTTGGCTCAGTCCTCGTCAAAATATCGCTAAAGGACATTCAAAATTCTGTCCACATTTTTGTTTGTGGACTCGTCAATGTTTAAAGAAAAAGGTTTCCCTATCAACTTGGTGGCTAGTTCTTCTTTATATCGTTCTGACTGGAGTAGGGATTCGCACATCAATACCTACAGATCAGGTGCGTAGGAGGAGAGGCCTGTATAGCCTAATGTCAGAGAGAGAATAATCCCGCACACCGTCTTACTTGCAAATTAAAAATTATTTATTTAAATTGCGACGTTTCGGCGTTATGCCGTCATCAAGCAAACATGAAAAGAGCACCAGGAAGTCCACTTAACTCATTCACTGCCAGCCATTTAAAAAGCAGCATCCCTCATACTGCCAGAGATTTTGGACATTTTTAGTGTTTTTCCGAACCGCATAGAAATGTGAAACAAGTATGAAACATATCAAATGAAAGCTCTATCCATTGGCTTTCATTTTTAAAAAAAAGTAAGTTTCTAACCCTTTCAGTTTTTTAGCAATTGAGAGTGCAACATAGGTAACTTTCACACAAAATGCTGTTTCCTGACCAAGATTTGGAGAAAACAGCCTTTTTGTGAAACGCGCATTTTCAAGCAGAAAACTGGGTTTTTTTGGTCTTTACTGATATTTTCAATTTATTTTTCTTACTATGACACAAAACAGAAACAATACATTGAATTGTATTTTTGATGTATAATTATTTTTAAACAAATTAAACGTGTACACACAATACACTCAAAGGATTGTCTTATGTACACATACAATATTCAACTTGTATACAATAAAAACACTTTGTACACAAATATACAGTGAAAATAACACTTTCTGAACACTTTGTGAAACAATTTTACTTTAGTTTATAAAGAATAGTAATTAGGTGACCCCACACTCTGCTGAAGTGTGGGGTGGAAGCTACTTCATCTGCACTCCCAATACATTTCTAGATTAGTTTTTTTTTACAAACCCAGTGAGAAATGTCAAACCAAAAAAGGTTTTTAGCTGCTAGACTGTCACTGTCCATGCATTTTCTCTGCTGAATGGGAGACGCTGTGTGTGTGCACTGAAATATTGTGCTGCATACAGCTTTGTCTGTTCGACAACAAGATCCAGGATCCAGCAGTTCATTAGTTATGAAGAGCTGCAGAAGTCAGCTGCTGATCCAAATCAAGCTCTGCTGCAGCATTTTGGGGTCCTGGGGTCAACAATCTACGACACAAAGAAAAATATAAAATCACCATACATTTTCACATTATAACAAGTGTTTTGGCTTCAGCAGCTATGACATTGAGATAAAAAAAAAAAACTCTTCAATACTCGCTGTTTATTTTTACTATAGTATAAGCCAGTGATTGCTATCACTCCCTCAAGAATCTCTCAATGTTTGAACGCAAAACCACGCAGACTCTGGGATCAGAGCAACAGAGTCAGTCTCTCTCCCCCTGTTCCAAAGCAGCAGCGGGCGCGCTCCTGACGCACCCTCCACAGTGAGACGCACCGCAGCAGAATGCACATGGTGTGGTAAATCTAACACTTGTTGCTCATCATGCGACCTGCTCACCGGTCTGCCATGGATCACCTTCCCCTGTCCCTTCTATAAACCACACGGTAACATCATCCATAGCTCCCTGGCAGCTAATGCTGCATGCCAGACTCACACGCCTCCAAACTCAAGAGGGAAACTTTTGGAAAAATGTCCCGCGTAATCAAGCATTTTACCCCGCAATAATCATTCATCAATCAACAATT